AATTTAATTTTTATTTTATAATTTTGACTTTTTAATCTCAATTTAATTTTGTAATAAATTTGTCATTTTAAATCTCATAATTTAATTTTTTTGTTATCATTTTGACTTTAATCTCATAATATTAATATTTTGACATTTAATCATATAATTTTGAATTGTTAATCTCAGAATATTTCACTTTTTATTTCTGAATTATGATATTTTGTCATCATTTCGACTTTTTATCTCATAATTATGAGTATGTAATCATTTTGGCTTTCCCTCTCGTGATTATGACTTTTATGCCATAATTTTGTTATTTTTTTATCTCATAATTTTTTACTTTTTAAATGTCATAAATTTCATAATTTTTATTTTATAACTATGGTATTTTGTAATAACATGAACGTTTTATGTCATCATTTCAATTTAGTGGTCATAATTTTGACTTTTTACTGTTTTTTTTTTATTATGGTTTACAAAAACATGATTTTTTCCCCATACAGACCGCTCAGATAATCTCGGTTTCCTGCGTTCCAGATTTCGTTGCATCGTCTATCCGTTCCAGCGGAAGCTGACGCAGCGTCAGGCCATCATCACCATCGCCTTCATCTGGGCGCTGGCTGTGGGCATCATGTGTCCGTCCGCCGTCACGCTGACCGTCTCGCAGGACCTCCTGCACTTCATGGTGGACCGGGACAACGTCACGTACCCGCTGTACACCTGCTGGGAGGCCTGGCCCGACCAGAGCATGAGGAAGATCTACACCACCGTCCTCTTCTCGCACATCTACCTGGCTCCGGTCACGCTCATCGTCATCATGTACACGCGCATCGCCGTCAAGCTGGTCAAATCGCCCGCGTCTATCCGGGACGCGCACGCGGAGGACGAGAGCCGCCGGGTTTTCCGCAGGAAGCTGCGCGTGGTGAACATGCTGCTGATCGTGGCGCTGCTCTTCACCGTCTCCTGGCTGCCGCTCTGGATCCTCATGATGCTGACGGACTACGGCAATCTGTCGTCCGCTCAGCTGGATCTGGTGGCCGTCTACGTCTTCCCATTCGCTCACTGGCTGGCCTTCTTCAACAGCAGCGTCAACCCCATCGTGTACGGCTACTTCAACGAGAACTTCCGCCGTGGCTTTCAGGCGGCGTTTAAGATGGGCCTGTGTCTGGTGGACGAGCCGCTGCAGCCCAGACGCAACGACACGTGGAAACACAACCGCGTGTTTGCGGACAGAGACAGGCCGAACGCTCAGAGCAACGGCAGGAGAGAGTTCTGCAGCGGAGAGCAGAGAGACGAGCTGGTGCTGGAGGATCTGGACTGAAGGAGCGTCCTGCATTCATGCGCCGAGATGCTTACAAACCCTCACACAGGCTCCTGTGAAACAACTGCATACACACACACACTCACACACTCACACACACACACACACACAC